TTTTTTTTTTGACTATTTCAGTACGAAGCTATCCCAGAATCACTCAAGAACATGCTCCTCGTCATGTCTACGGCAGGGATTTTCGAACAAGAAGATTACACCTTGAGCTTAGGCAATGCTGACAAAACCAAACCTGCTGGACCACGCCTCGCACGAACAGATTCCGAAGTCCACCGCTATTCAGCRCTATGGCAGGTCACGTGGGAGAGGATTGACTGCTTTCTTCCCAATATGAAGCAAGAGTTRTTYCTGAGGTCACAGCCTTCATCGAGRGCTAGTTCACCTCAGAGCGCTAGACCCAGTAGTGATGGAGAAGCAGTGACTGAGAAACCAGAAAAGTCTGCGAACGTTGAAGGTAAGGAATATTTACGAAGATARCTATCACATAAGAAGAATCCTATATTGTATGACGAGTGGTCCTGGGAACTAGCGGCTCATTGGTTCATTTGACGGGACGTTGTCATTCGAGCCACGTGAAGGTCTAACTATTTGTAGATGTAATTACAAAGGCAGCACCTTCTCCTCAGTTATTTTAAGACCCTAAGTGCTGGTCCGGGCGGGACTCGAACCACGACCTCCCGCAAAACAGATCGACGCTCTTACCAACTGACGTAATTAGGTTTTTGTTTTCTGCAAAGATCTCGACTTCAAATCAATTATCTGTCATCCCAGTGGCTTAATAAAGCATTAATGTTCGAAATGCCGACTATAAATGTAAGACTTTTTGGTAACTTAGTGTTCTCTCGACCTATTTTGATGAGCCATGCCATTCAGGGCATAACTTTTTACAGTTATCAATGATAGCAAAAGCCACGACAATTCTTTGCGTTCTGCATTCAAACTACTGTTCATACATCCAAAAGCTATATAGTGTTTGGTCATAGTTAGAAAGACGATACAATACTTTTTATAACAAAGATATCTATCAAAATGTTGTGACCACTCGAAATTCTCCGAAGCTCGACCTGATATAGTCACGTTTTGATGCTACGCTCATCACAATACTRCTTGTTTGTTGGAGTGGCGTGCTCAACTACGATAACAGCTATTTATGTAACAAAATAGAMTAGAAAAGCAAGTCGTGATAATAAAACACTCTTCGATTTTTTAAAGGAGGGTCTACTAAAAGCATCCAAGACGCAAGGCCAACCAGCCCTCCCCCCAAAGGAACCAGTATCACCTCACCTCCCCCCCAAGGACAGCAAGTGTGCGTCATGCTTCAACCCCCCTTACCGTCGCTTGGAAATCGGAGCGGGTCTCCGACACAGCTTGGGTCCCTAGCTGACAATGTTCGTACATCTGTACCTATCATACTAGCACCAAGTCCTGAGCTAAACAAAAAGGGACCCAAACCGGTTCAACCTGTTTGCGAAGCTCAACCGACCAATGAGAATACAGAGAATTCACACGATCCTTCTCTAAGAGAAGATAGTACTATTGATCTTACTTCTGTTATTGAAGAAGACGAGGCTACTGATCAAGCACCGGAGAAGCCTCCCAAGACTGCTATATATGATATTTAGACCTTATACGTGGATTAATCTGATTGGCTGTGAATAGCCACTAAAATATGAGTCGCAGAAAAAAGAAATGGTTGAAAAACTGAATTTTGGAAGAAAGATCTCTTCCTCTTCTAGAATTATTTTCATTCTTCTTGTCAATCGTTCTGGCTGCCATCAGCTTACCTCATCATGTGACGGAACAATGAACCAATGGAAGCACAGCAATTTATGACGTCATTACCAAAGATGTCGTCATCACCACAATTCCAGTCATTGTTTCAATCATGTTTTTAAATAGACTAAGAATTTAGTGTTTTAGCGTACTTAAACCATTCAAGACACTGTTTTTATCCGCTATATTAGAAATATCGCTTGTTCATTGGTGGTGCAACAAGTAATGAAGTTTGTTATTTTTTTGGAGAGCTTTCCCAATAAAGCCCCGTTTACACTGGCGATTTTTGCTGCGACTTTTGCTGCGGTTTTTGTGAAAATTTTCGGAAATATGAAATCTTTTGTCTCATCCTTCAAAAGAGACATTCGCATAGGAAAATCTTGGTGTCCTGAAAAAAACTTTACAAGTAAATTCTTTACCATTATTTATTATGGACAAAATCGCAAAAAAATCGCTAATGTAAACGGGGCTTAAGATTGCAGTTTCTAATCAGTGGGAAGACCGGGTCGAATACGGACAATTGTGAAAACGGTGCTATAAATATATCTATTTGTCAGTGATTTTTTGTTCATTTTGTCATCAAAATTGGGCTGCATTTTTGAGCTCAATGGTATTAAACAACTACTTACACCTATTGCAAAAAAAGTTTGTCATCGCCAAAGGCGATAGGGGATAAGCGATATAGATAGGTTATTCCAAGATCCAAGAATAACTGGAATGACTTGTGTTTCTGTTTCTTTTTCTCGTCAAGAACATGGACCTTAGTGTTGAGACTGATTCAGTGTTCTTTGTAGTCGACGAAGCCATTTCCGTCTCGGAATGACATATCGCCTATCGTCTTCGCTATCGGCGATGACAACGTTTATTGAAACAGGTGCATATTTGAAATTCTCATTTTATCCTGCCTGGTCAACAACTGTCCTATCTTCCCAGTCCTTTCACTCTTGAATAAGCAAAGGTTGAGACAAGGGTGGTGCGGTCTCAAGACGGACGACAGAAAGAACACGTTCTTTTACGTGCGCACGTCACCGTCTTTAAGCCAKGTATTCCTCATCATGACGTCGTTAACGTTCTGATRAGGCCAGCGGTCTTKAAGAGAAACATGCGCACATGGAAAAGAATGGGTTCGCGTTGTCGACTTGAGATCTTCAACTCCTTTGTGGAATGTTGGAGCAAATTTTGTATGATCTTAAACAATGACTTTTCATCTGACCTCCGTTTCSATAAACCTTTCCCGAATTCSCTTGCGWTACCACTAAACTTTATCAAGTCCGTTGTTTCGCGGTCACGCAAGCGAATTGGGAAAATTTATAAATAAATTCAGTGAATATGTCACGGAGCCGAAACCATGACGCCACTTGCGTTACCCGAATAGTCATTTAGCGCACTGTGATTGGCTGAAATGTAATCGTCCATTACGTTCACGTAACGGTGCTGCGCGCCGTGACGTTTGGCGCGGTGCGTACGAAATCCAYTCAATTACCTCCATAACGCCTAAAGATTCTTAGAACTGAATGATTGGGAAATTCTGGGAGCTATAAACCTTGTTAATTCGAGTATAATGTTTTCTCATTTCAAACCASTTTGAATAAGATTCTCTGTTTGAATCAGAACCATATGAATGTGTCTTTTTATGAATAACTTGTACACCAAAATAATACTCAAGGGAATGAAACGTRGWTTGAAATAAGAAAACATTTATACGCTCAAATGCTTGATCTTTCGTAGATTAGAATGGATTGAAGATCTCTGTGTGGAATTTTTAGGGGGGGTGGGGTAGGGAACGCATTACATTCGTAAGAATTTTAACTCGTGGATGCTACTCCAATAGCGAGTTCACTTTTACTAAAAAAATGTTGGACTGCTTCGATATACAAAATCCTAACGAAAGTTACCGACCAACTAGACCATCGCAAATGAAAAAGTTTTGATGGACGTCAAAAAAAAGGCACGACAAAAGGACTGACGTGAATACTTACGTCAACATGTGCAAACACCGTTGCCCTTACATCATGTCGCTGACGCTGACGCTGTCAGAAGTCTCGCAGGATTCCGGCTCCGAATTTCAAACGCTTGACTCCTAAAAGCTATTGCTATGACTATGATTTCAGTTTCTTCAAGAACAGGCAAGTCAATACCGATAGCTCTGCAGTCAAGCGTTTGAAATTTGAGGTCGTAATCCTGTGTGACAATTTAAAGAAACCMTTTTGATTGACGTCCRCAAAAACTCAACTTTTCGTTTGTGATGTAGGTCTAGTTGATCGCGTGTGACTGGGAATCAATCGCAGTAATTTGGGAATTCGTTATATTGCAGCGAGTCTTTCTCAAACGATGGAAATAGTGAATTAATTTAAACGTCCTTGGAAATAGTAATCTCTGGTTTAATTTGAAATTCCTGACAAGCAGAATTTATTTAATTAAGGACGTTTTTGCAACGCCATAAAGTTAATTGTGCCAAGTTGATTTTAAAGCGAATGGCGCTACTATCTCCACGAAATATGTTGCACATTAATTTAAAGTCATTATTAATAATAAATAAATAAAGATTTTGGTATGTCATCAATGAATAGGGAATATTTATGATTACTGAGCTTTTCTTCTGAAACGTTTCAACGTTTTAGATTTGTTTCATTTTAAATTTAATTTTAACATTCTATTTCTTTTGCTCTCGCCTCGACTCGTCTTCTCTTCTCTCGTTTCCTCTCCTCTCCTCTCTTATGGAAATATGATAACTCTCCTCTAAGAATGTTTTCAATAATAATAGAATAAAAATTTAACAGGCAACCGGTCGTTATACAGAGGTTGGCCACATTAAAGGTGGTCGCATAATAGAGGCTCTAACGTGTGGTTTTCGCCGATTCTTTTATATTTTAGCAACTGTCTTTCAGCATGCGATTCAATTTTTTCTTCTGTTTCGTGCGCTCGTCATGTCATAATTACCCCGGACTGAAAACCACTTAGCGATAATTATTCCTGTCAGAGAAGATAAACTTCAAAGTGACAGACTTGGGTCGTTGGGGGGTCATGTTCGGGCCTGGAAGAATTAAGATCAACTCTAGATAGATATTCCTTCTCGAGTTCAAAAAGATGCGACATGAAGATACTCTTTGTCAAACTCTTTTCGCTATTCATTGTCATCTTTAATCAACTCGTTCAAATATTTACAATCCTAATAGCTGTCACGCTGTCTAAAGTCCATCAAATTGATCCACGTAAGCACTTAATCTGTTTGAAGAACGAAAAACGGGTTGAAATCTTACAAGATACGGTTAAAACGATGCGTCATTCTTTCAACTGTCTGTACGTTCCTGACGTTTCCATCAATTGAAAATGGACTAGAAATCCCACCTGATAAAATACACTTTTGATCCATTAACGTTTCGAAAAAGATATGACAAACTCGACGTTTACACTTAGATGTTATCCATCGCAGTTCTGAAGACAGAAAAAAGACGTTAATCAATATTAATTGCACAAAATATTCACCAATTTATCAGATAATAGTGTAGCTTGCAAACCGTTTCTTTTACAAGAAATTTGCGCTATGGAAAGATAAGCAAACAGCTTGATAGTAAAAAGAACAAACACGGAAAGAAAGAGAGAGAGAAAAGTATATTGATCGTAAAACTCGTAGAAATAAAAAGAAAATATAAGAATTCAGTTGTATCATTGCTTCCTGAAACAACCTCTGTATTGATCTAAGTCAGGGCACGGCTACCTCACACGGATCAAACCCTGAAACAACCTACCTTTCAATCTGTCAGTCAGCCATGCCCTGACTTACATCAGCCCAGAGGTTGTTCCAGGGTTTGATCTGTGAGTTAGCCGTGCCCTGACTTAGATCAGCCCAGAGGTTGTTCCAGGGTTTGATCTGTAAGTTAGCCATGCCCTGACTTAGATCAGCCCAGAGGTTATTCCAGGGTTCAATCTGTGAGTTAGCCATGCCCTGACTTAGATCAGCCCAGAGGTTATTCCAGGGTTCAATCTGTGAGTTAGCCGTACCCTGACTTTGATCAGCCCAGAGGTTGTTTCAAGCCGGAGTACTTGGACCAGATTTTTCAAAAATATGATTTTAATATTACACCATCACAATTATGTTGAGTAGTTCGCTTTTAAACAACTTGACTGCCTGCCTTTGAAGGCCAAGGCCCGAAATTTTTAATTTTTCATCCCTGAAGTCACATTTACTGCGTTTTCAATCATTTTTGAAACCTTAGAAGAGCAAATTCTCGATAAACATGAATGAAAACTTCCGAAGTCTGTCGGAGACAGGGTGACAAACTGTCTAGTACAGAAGACTCCCAAGTGAAAAGAACCCCTCGCTATCTTTTGTTCGTTGTCGGGGAAACTGAGCGAGCAAAGAGAAAATGTTTTTAAATTTTGAAGAGTTGTCGTGGAAATTAGCCAACTTCAATGCTAAAATTCCATCCAAATCTTCTTTTTTTTTTTGAAATTGTCTCTTATCGGTGCAGCACTTAAAAAGGATCCATTTGTGGCCATGTTAACTGTTGAAATTTATCAAAATTATTAGCTTTCATAAAGTGGAAATTTCGTCTTCCACTCTAGAATCTCGTCTTCCACCCGAGAATAATTATAATTTATATTGAAAAATATTATAAGTTTAATAATATTCGAATACAAACGGATTATTTTTATCAATTATTTGAGTGGGATCTCTGATAATCACTTTTTAAAGACGATTCTGGAAAAAATGTACTTTTGAAGTCAATAATATTGAAAAAATAYCACGAAATAAATTAGGAAAATTTTTAGCTTACACATGAAAAAAAATGGATTGAAAATATATTTATTTTATTTTAGGGTAAACTTGATAAAAAATATTATTAAAATCTATTAAAGTATTGATTCTATCGCAATGAATGCTGGGAGTTGCATTGGGCGAGGCTGCATAGCAACGGTACGAGAAAGGATAAAAAATGGCTGAAAGTTTCCTCTAAATGTCCGCTTCTTCCCCACAAAATAAGACATCAGAGCAAAGAAAATATCAATAAGAGGACCTCTCTCGCCGTAAAGCAAAGAAAAACGATCAAAATTTGAGGTAAGTTGGAAGTTCACGAAAAAATATTCCGCTTCTTTCTTTAAAACGGTCGCGGTTTTATGGCTTAACTTGTCTAACTTTCTTTAATCATTTGTATTAACCAAACTGATAAACACCTTATCTAGAGATTTTGTGATAGCACGTTAATTCAAATGGCTTTTTATAAAATCTTTTATCTGTATTCGGGTTTATTCGGCTTGGTTCATGCGTCTTTGAATGTTGTCACCTAATGGAATTAGTTCCGCACGATTTTCCCGCCATTTATGCAAATGATTTGAGTTGTAAAATATGTAAGGCAAATCTTAGCTCTCATTTTACCCCTTCCAGACCCTCTATATACGTACTCTGATAAACAAATTAAATAAATGTTGGATAATAGTTTTAAAAATCAGCTGCAAATAACAAAAGATTATCACAATTTAGAGTGTTGATGGTTTTCATAGCCGCCATGTTGGATGAATTAAACAAAAGATTCGTCATTAGTCTCTTGTTATATCCTCCAACATGGCCACCGTGTCTTTGGTTATTTCATTCTCTTGGGAATGATTGAAAACCAGCAATAGCAAATAATGACAATGAAATTGACTGTTCTTGGGATACATGTTACATCATAGCTGCCATCTTGGCCTGGGGGGAGGGGGGGGAGGGTACTCCCATATATGGACTATAAGGTGATGATCTGCTGAACAGGGTATGGTTTTTCAAGCTTCTTGTCATAAACAGGGTATGTGATTTCACTCAAGTTCCAAGTTCTTCCTGAGTTTCCTGTCATATTCAGGGTTTCTACTTTCGTATTGACCGAAACTGGTTATTATGGTCGTAAAAAAAACAATACGTGAGGTGACATGATAATTGAAACAGGAAACAGGGTCTACAAATTTGAGTTTTTTCGCCATTAACAGGGTACCCCTTTCAGGATCCCAGTGGAACACCCTTACCCAAATCCTGGCGGACTTCCCTCCCCCTTCCCCCCCGGCCATCTTGGTTGGCAATAACAAAGCATTCCTCATTAGCTTCTCTTGTTATATCAATGAACATGGTGGCTATTTCATTGCTATTTATATCTCAAGTGATTTTGAGTCACATGATCACCCTATGAATAGCTTATTTGGTACCACAATATATAAATTAATTATCATACATTAATACTAGACTTAGTTTTGTAAGAGATAACTGAAAATACCCATAAAGGGCTAATTAACTCTAGTAAAATAGCAATAATCAAGTAAAAAAATTTTTTTTTTAAATTTTAAACAAAAACTGTAAAGAATGTATAAACATATACTTCATTAACATAAATTTGATAAATATCACAATATATCTGAAACAACTAATGGCCATGGGATACAGTACTGAAATAATGATGTCATAAAGTTGTTTTTAAGGACATTTAGGATTTTGGACATTAGAGCAGATGCAATTAAACCATGAAATAAAATCAAACTAAATACTAACTAATAGTATCTATTTAGTGACTAATAGTTGCT